ACCCTTTAAATTACTTTTCCATATTTGAAAATCACAACTTAAAATTCTCCATTATTTCCACAAACTGTGGGTTTCTGCAGGTTTCATGGAGGTAAATTCAAGACTTTTTTAAAAGATAATTTTAAGACCAAATAAAGAAACTTTAAGGAATAAACTGGATTTTTCAGTGCAAATGTCTAAAGATTCCTAATTCGATAAGCAAAATTACATAAGTCTTGTTTTCTGTGAAATTGATCAAAATGAAGTGAGTGTGGAATTAAAACAAGAACCAATTATCTGCCAATGAGCTCAGCACAGCAACTTAATTCAAAGGGGAAATTCATTTTTTAACCCCTTAACTGTCACTCACATTTTTGAACATGGATGTGAAAGTGCACTATCCAAACTTACATTTTTATAATTCATGAATGAAAACATTTTGTAACATGATTTTGATGTACCATTTTCATGGCAATGTGTTTTTCATGTCTGCTTTTAAAATGGTTGTCAAAGGATGAATTTTGAGATTTTAAGTTTTCAATTGATATATAATTTATGATGATTTCTAAAGTGTGATAGAGAAAAAGGCAACGAAGAAGGCTTTTTGTGACAAAGGTCAGAACTCCTGTTATGATGTAGATTTTAGGTTTTAATACCCAATTGACAGAGCTGTTCTTATTTTAAGCATAAACTTGCTTAATTGTTAGTTTCCCAGAAAACAAGAATGCATATCTTCATTTTTATGTTATGCAACATTTAATGCCATGATTTTAAGAATTTTATTTTCTGCTCTCATTTAACCCTTGTGCGACCTTTTGGACATTTTTGTCCTTTTCAGTTTTGTTTTTTTGATCATTTTGCCTGTGTTGTTGCCAACTGCATACATTTTGGCACAGGTGTGTATTTTTATTGGAATTTTACTATTTCACTTCCATTTCCTTTAATAAATCTGTTTTGCACTAGGGACAAAAAAATTGTTCCTCTCAGGACCTTAAGGACAAAAATGTCCCCATTGAAACCCATTAAAACTGCTATTTTTAATCGCAGTGCCATTTAACTGTAAAAGTATGCAATTTTTGTTGATAGGCTTTCATTAACCCTTTAAATTACTTTTCCATATTTGAAAATCACAACTTAAAATTCTCCATTATTTCCACAAACTGTGGGTTTCTGCAGGTTTCATGGAGGTAAATTCAAGACTTTTTTAAAAGATAATTTTAAGACCAAATAAAGAAACTTTAAGGAATAAACTGGATTTTTCAGTGCAAATGTCTAAAGATTCCTAATTCGATAAGCAAAATTACATAAGTCTTGTTTTCTGTGAAATTGATCAAAATGAAGTGAGTGTGGAATTAAAACAAGAACCAATTATCTGCCAATGAGCTCAGCACAGCAACTTAATTCAAAGGGGAAATTCATTTTTTAACCCCTTAACTGTCACTCACATTTTTGAACATGGATGTGAAAGTGCACTATCCAAACTTACATTTTTATAATTCATGAATGAAAACATTTTGTAACATGATTTTGATGTACCATTTTCATGGCAATGTGTTTTTCATGTCTGCTTTTAAAATGGTTGTCAAAGGATGAATTTTGAGATTTTAAGTTTTCAATTGATATATAATTTATGATGATTTCTAAAGTGTGATAGAGAAAAAGGCAACGAAGAAGGCTTTTTGTGACAAAGGTCAGAACTCCTGTTATGATGTAGATTTTAGGTTTTAATACCCAATTGACAGAGCTGTTCTTATTTTAAGCATAAACTTGCTTAATTGTTAGTTTCCCAGAAAACAAGAATGCATATCTTCATTTTTATGTTATGCAACATTTAATGCCATGATTTTAAGAATTTTATTTTCTGCTCTCATTTAACCCTTGTGCGACCTTTTGGACATTTTTGTCCTTTTCAGTTTTGTTTTTTTGATCATTTTGCCTGTGTTGTTGCCAACTGCATACATTTTGGCACAGGTGTGTATTTTTATTGGAATTTTACTATTTCACTTCCATTTCCTTTAATAAATCTGTTTTGCACTAGGGACAAAAAAATTGTTCCTCTCAGGACCTTAAGGACAAAAATGTCCCCATTGAAACCCATTAAAACTGCTATTTTTAATCGCAGTGCCATTTAACTGTAAAATTATGCAATTTTTGTTGATAGGCTTTCATTATATTGGCAAGGCTTTAAAATGTAATTTTTTACTATTTTTTACAAGATGGTGCCATTTTTTCAGGTTTGACCTATACAGAAAATACTCATAATTATGCAGCTATAATTGTGTGGGTGTGTTGGTATGGATGTCAGAGTGTGGTTTGTATGTGTGTCATAAAAAAAATTGTATGTGTGTGTGCGTGTGTGTTCTTGTAATATTTGAGAGAGAAAAACTCTACTGCAAATCACAAATCCAACCACTGTGTGCACCAGCAGAGTTTTGCTGGCATCTAATGGGGAAAATTTGGTACTGCGCCCAAACAAAATCTTACTGAAAGCTCATTTTTTGAGATATCAACCTCAAATTTGGAACACAACTTGTTTAGATTTATGGCTTTGATTTTCTAGCAGGTATAGAGTTCAACATGTTTCATAAAATATATATTTTATATAAAACATCGTTCATAAATCATTTTCATAAACCTAAACCTTTTTTTTTTGGTTTCACTTTTTAAACTTTTTTTACTTTAACAATAATCTGCCATGGGTGTTCTTTAAAATGTGACCAAACTTAACTTTGTGCTCCCAAGCTTCAATTTTTTATGACTTTTGGTTTTTTGACATGGACATTTTTGTCCACTATGGACCTATGTGTAACTTTTTATAATTGACGCACAAGGGTTAAGACTGTATAAGGCCTTAATTTGTGGAAGGACGAATTAAGACTATTTAACACCTGAAGGAATCTTGTAAAAATAGAGTTTGGAACTGATAAGGATATTAAAAGGGTTCTCCATTCACAATTATTTATCATCCATAATGCCTATTTAAAAACCAATGCATTTTTTTCCCCCATTTCTTTTCTTGCAGTGCGGACTGGTCCATAGATGCCTTGTTACATAAGTGGGATCTGAAGTGCATTAATGTTCCATTAGAAACATTTGATGCAAACAAAAACCATCTCGCTGGATCAACGCTTCCAGGGAATCATACTGTACAAATGATGATTATAACAAGACAAGTGTTTTAATACATGTGTTTGAATTTCATAAACTTGTATATAATCTGAAAATCTTTTTCCAATTCTTTCCAACTCCATCCAGCACATTACATCATGACCTGATAAAGTTCTGCCCTGCATTTTCCTCCTCCACTTCAAAATGCCAGATTACCAAAATGTTTATTAGAAATTATGCTAATATACACAATAAATTAAGCACATTTTGCTACGACATTAAGCCGTAAGGATTTAATATTTCATTTATTGAAGATCCAAAAATAAAGCGACAGAACAAAGTTCATCGTATAGTTTAAGATACTCCAAATTTTCCAAATTGCGGAACAAAGTAAACAAACTTTGTAAGACGACAGCATTTATGCCACCAAAAATGTATTTGCAGATGCTGCTTGACCTTGGCCACACCTCCAACAGCTGAAATCTGGAGAAAACCGGAAACAGCCAAGCACTCAGCACTGCAACACCGGATCTTAACAGCTAACCGGCAAAACTCAACAGCGCCTAGTGCACAAAAAATACACAAGACATTGGGTTAGAATCCAAATATCACACACCAAAGACCAAATAAACTTAAAAAAAAAATGGTTTAACATCAGGACTGTAATATACAGTAATAAGAACACAAGCTATTCATACTATTTCCAAACAATTTCAAAATAAAGCACAACAACAATTTGAAGCATTGGCAAATTAAAGCAAATTTGAACACAAATGCCAAATCTAAATCAATTTCTATACAGCGTCTTACAAAAGCGACACAATCGAGGTGCAGCTAGCATACTCTGAACCATCACCAAAACAGCTTTACCTTAAAAGGCCAATAGAATTGTGATGCTCGTCCTACTCAACGAATTAAAAAGGACATACACGTTTAAAAAAAAACCTCACTGAAAATAGGAACAATGTATACAAAGAACAAAGGGCTGTATAACTATCGAACAGTTCGAATATGCCAATCGGTCATAATGACTTTAGGCCCATGTAGCCGTTGTGTAGGTTTCAGGGTTTTCAATCCGAGGTTCCTCAGGCTCCAACAGAGGTCACGCATGTAGAATCGCCCCACGATGAGACAGACCTAAGAGAACACAAAACTGTGGTCAGACATGTGATGAAACATGTGAAAACATGGAAATGAAAGAAGGAAACAATTACACAAAGCACACAGTCTCTGGGAAACCAGATGATATGGACAGTTAACCGTAACACAAAAATTACACATTTTATACAAAATTAATTATATTTACAAAAAATAAATGTATATATATATATATATATATATATATGACTACA